TTGGGCTCATCCCCAGCGGCACGCTGTCCCATCAGAAACCTCGTAGAAGAAGGGTCTCCCTTGTCCATGTTATAGCCACCGTATCACTGAGTTACATCGGCACTCCTTTACCGAGGCCCCCGGTCTTTTAGCATCCCAGGCTGGAAGTTTAATTGCTCCACCATGAATCGGTGAGATGCTGACCATGCAGGGAAACCTTTTAGGTGTTCTGGAAAGGAGCAATCAAAGACGTCCGGAGTATACATCCCATTCCGGACACGTGATATGCATCCTCAGGTGAGATTCCCATGCAGGTCTGAATGTATGTAGTGCATATCGATGTATGTTTGGATGTGCATCACACCTACATAAGACGACTAGCAGTACTAGTCTGTCATTATGAAGTATAGTTGATGTGCCTCCCGACAGAAAAGGTTATCTCACTTTGGATTATCGCATAATCTGACGCCAATTTTCTCTCGTGTTTTTTATTTAGCTTTTTTGCCGAATTTCAAATTTTTTGTGATGTGATTATTATTATTTTTTTTGTTTTACCCACTTTTCCCTCGCTCTCGCTCTGGCGCTGATCTTAGTTAGCTGATCGCGACGGACAATTGCAGAGGATCCACTGACCCGCCAACCGGGTTCGTGAGTCGGTGGCTTTCCAATGCAAATAGAGTTAACTACCAGCTTAGTGCTGTCAAGCCACCAGCGCATAGGATGTGCGACCCGGTCCCGAGAAAGGGGTAGTGGAGGCGGACACTTTACCTCGTTCGTTGGGTGGTAGCAACAATTGAAATCAAACATGTCGTAAATTCGCTTCCCAACTTAAAAGCCGGCAGTCGGTTAACATCCGGCAGACTGACCTGTCGACCAATTCCAAAAATCGGGAAACCAGGGGGTTCCTCAGCGCGCAGCCGAAGGTGTAAAGACACCCACTAGCTCCAAGTCCTGTAAGCTAATTAGGCCCTAAATCTAGTTCGGGGGGTTGTCGTCGTACCACTAAAACAAGTAGATCGAACTTGTCAGCAAATCATTAGTTCCAGCGGCCTGACTTTTGGCAGGACTAAAAGGACTAAAAGAAAATTGGGTCTCGAACCAACAAGAGAAATGCGCACGCGGTGCACACAGCGTCCTGAGCCCCAAATACCCAGCCTGTCGGACCTGCCAGTGTTCCACACCAAGGCGCTAGGGCCATTGATGACATCGTATGGGACGACGCTATATCTCGTCAATCCCACTTCAGCCCGAATTGTCGTAGAGACTAACGGGGCACCTAACGCCGGTCACCGTATCAGGACACATTGGGGTTGTACGTAGACGCTGTTTGGATTCTCACGAGGATGGTCGCTTATCCTCACTCATGCCCGCTTAGAACCTTCACGGAGGAAGTGAGCTAGTTGTGATCCTTTCCGATCCCGTTGCCCAATTGAGAACCACTGGCATCCTGGTCGAGATTCGAACCTTTGGTCGACTTCTGTGCTGATCTACCGGATCCTCTTCCCCGACGTATTCCTGTGCCCCGGTAGGTTTCGTTGGCTTGTTAGTGTGTCCCTCCGTCTCCCGCGGAGTTGGTTCCTTTTCGAACAATGACCCACGCGTCCCGCTAGTACTTTTGTGCTGGACAGGTCTCTTTTTCCCGTCTCGCCTGCCCTGAATCGCCTGTAATCTCCCTTTTCACACAAAGGACAGTTTGTCGTATCACCTGAAGTAATAGTGTCGTGTCTGTACAAATTCCCCATGATCTTTGTTTGTGGTGACCCGCAGAGCAATTCATTGTCCGATGCTAGAGTCTTGTTGACATGCTGTTGCAAAGTGACTCGGCTGATTCGAGGACACAATGTGTGTCCACATGGCTGTAGCAAGTGAATTACTAGATGTGTCAGACCGTCTCTTGTGAATCTCACCCGAGCAAAGATCAGTATATGATAAACATTGCAGGCATACCGATTCACATTGGATCGGATCGGATCGACTTCTCGTAAATTCGAATTGCGTTCAACTGAGTACACCGCTCCAACGATCGAGCGAAGGTCGACTGTGCGACGTCACATACACAGCTCTCTGCCAAAAGTCTAGAACGGCGAAGTACAATGAAGTCAGACCACCTAACAATCCTACCACCTACTTGACTCCGAGCAACGAAGACTCGTTCGGCTCATTACCTGTGCCAATACTCAACCAATTGTTTGAGCGCGGCGGAGTCCGCCGAAGAGTGGCCCTGATATCTACTAAAGTACGCAAAAGCGCGACACAGCTTGTGCAGCCGAAGAAAGAAAGGACTTAGTAGGTTGGCACAAAACAAATATATTTCAGAAGTAGATTTGAGACTACGATGAATGCAAGTACAGAAATGTTCGAGACGTTCTCTTGCACCAGTTCCACTGGCCGAGGCCACGAAATACGAAAATTTCAGAAACCGGTGCCTTCACTCCTCGACAGCCCTGCAGCTAACTACCCCCGTGCCGATTGACACAAAGAGCAGATAGCGAGACAGAACCGAATTTGTTCTCCCAACGCTCCGTTAAGAACAATCTTGTGAGTTTGCAAGATGTTCCTGCAGTACCCAGAGTGGACTGCATCGCTGGTGTAGTAAAAGTATGGTTTGCCGGCTATTGGCTTCCCAATGAAATCAAGGCACAACTAAGTAACAAAGCATAAATAAAGCCACATCATATGTAGCCACAGGAGGCTGATCTTCCTATTTGAAGCGAGACCTAAAATGGTCGTTTGTGCGATGCTGAGATAAGTATGTTGAATCGATGCCCAGATAGGGTAACGGTTTTGAAACTTGTTAGAAAGAAATCGCCTAAGGTATCATGAGAGATGTACGGCCATAATTGTACGGGAGAAAGCAGAAGCCTGCGAAGTGAAAGCAAGTAACCGCCATCTGGTATAGAGGATATGAAATTCATCATTTTCAGGTCGTTACTCGCTTGAAGTCATCATCAATCAATGCGTCAAGTTCATGTTATACCGTAGTAGGCACGATGGCGAGATTTTACCACGTCCAAAAAGCATGGGAATAGAAAAAGGCGTAGTTGAAGAATACACGTTAGTCGTTCAGATGGAAAAGTGCCGAAACACTTCAGCAAGCGTTAGGATTCCCCAGTACAGCCGTGAATTGAAGGATAAACTTACCTTTCACCATAATGATGGCGTCTAATGCTCTCTGAGATAAGAGTCGATATATCGATGATGACCAACTTCTTCGATTTCTTAACCATCTGTTCCGAGATGGGGAAAGTGTTGGTCACTACAATGTAGTCAATCGCTTCGCACTCTTCCATTTGCTCAAGGGATTTATCTCCAAAGAGTCCGTGGGTTGCGATGCAGTAGACCTTCTTAGCACCACCCTTCTTCACCACAGTCTCTGCAGCAGCAATCCATGATCCACTTTTGTCAATCATGTCATCGACGAGGAACACAGTCCTATCACGGACGTCGCCCACGAAAGTAATGGTCTTCTCTCGCTCGACAGCTCGTCCTACACTACCTTCTTCATCAGATGATTCAGCAGCATCAAACGAGCCGCCAAGAGCATGGTCACCCGGTAAAGATGACGTGGTGGAGATGAAGGATTCCGCCATTGGGTCAGGAACAGAATCAGAATGATCTGCTACAGTCTGTCCGGGTGTAGTGTCTCCTGACGCGGGCGTAGAATCGACGGGGGGATAATCATCATCGACGAGGTGACCCTCTACGAGTCTCCCAGTGATTACGTCGTGTACTCGGACATCCGTACACCCGTGGGCAGCCTCTAGCTCTGACGGGCGTCGAGCACCCGTTAGAATGTCTGGAAGCAAGGCATTTGCCGATAACAATGATTCCATGTTATCAGATAACCTATGCACCTCTTCAGCTTGCGAATTATCACGGCTTCCAGTCTGTACGTGGAGTACAAACGGATCGTCCTCTTTTTGGACAGGCGTGCAGTCGTCATCTATGGAATCAAAGAAGACCGTACTGTCCGTCATAGCCATATTCATCTTGGGCCGTCGCCTATCGGTAGTGACGATGCCGAAGTTGAGCTTCAGGGTGTCCGCCAATGATGTAACACGCTTAGTGCCCCCAGCGTTCTTGCTGACAACGACTGCCTCTTTCCAGCCGGGAACATTCATGCGGATCCAACGAGCGATATAGGGCTCGGCAAACAGGTTGTCCACTGGTTTGCCGAAGAACCCCTGCATCTGGGATGCCTATATATTTCCTGATGAGAAATATGTCCAGGAAAAGACACCACACTGTCGCCAACTGCTTTGTGACTCACATGCAAGTCCAATGTTATCACATGGTCTACTCCAGCAACTGAGAGGAGGTTTGCCAGCATGCGGGCGGTGATGGCACCACGGTGGCTCTTCTTTTTAGATTGGCGAGAGTATGGGAAATACCTCGGCTAGGTCAGCATCAATTGTGCGATAGTCAAACTAGGCAGGCAGCATACGGTATGACCGCTAGGATAAGCCACAAGTTAGCCAGCTAAGATATTGAAAGAAAGACTGAATTTGGTGAAACATACCTGTGATGGACTTCGCAGAACCTCCTTTGCAGGCAGAGATCATGATCAAGAGTTCCATGACACTATCATTGATCCTCTCACTGCCACTCTGGACAATATAGACATCTTGGTTCCGTACTGAGACACCAATGTTTACACTTGTCTCCCCATTGGCGAATTTACCTAAGTCTGCCCGGGCGGGTTGAGTCCCTAACCGGTCGCAGACCACCTTCGCAAGTGTGGGATGCGATGTCCCAGAGAAAATCTGTACTCCCCGCATTTTGATATAATTATGTGCTAGAATAAGACATGGAAAAGCGACTTGGGGGAAGGTTCAAGGTGGTGGTAGAATGGGGAGCCCACGATGAGCAACGGGAAAGAAAGAAAAAAATTTGAAGAGAAAAATAGCTGGAGCTTTGCGTCACGGGATTTTGTTGCTCCACGTACCGAAAAGTCCCCGCCAACATCCCTCCGATAAACCCCGCTTTGCTGATAATCGAAGCCCAATTCCACCAATTCCAATATGTCGCGGAAATTTCCTGAAGTCCAGGGAGGAGGCTCGCTCATTGTTGCCTGGCAGGTAAAAGACAAACATGTCTTAGTTGTAGGAGGTGGAGAGGTAAGCTCCTTTCGCTAGCAATCAATGCTACTATATATATTTGGAATACGTTTTGACTGGTTATATGCTGAGCATAGGTAGCCGCCGGTCGTATCCTCCATGCCCTTAACGCTGATGCCAAAGTAACGGTTGTCTGTCCTGCCTCTGGTCTCAATGATGAAGTAGCATTTCGGGTATCCGAGGGTCAAGTGTCTCACATCGACCGGAACTTCGAGCCAACAGACCTTGAAGGAGCAGATATGGTTCTCTGTGCCATTGACGACCCAGACGCCTCGACCCGCGTATGGAAACTGTGTAAAGAGAAGAAAATACCCGCAAACATCGCCGATGTACCTCCCGAATGTGACTTCTACTTCGGTAGTGTGCATCGGGATGGCCCGTTACAGGTGATGGTCAGCACGAATGGAAATGGCCCCAAGCTTGCGAGTATGGTACGAAAGAAAATCGCCGACACTCTCCCCGACAATATGGGCGCCGCAATAGAAAATGTGGGCAAATTGCGGAGAAAGCTAAGGGAGGTAGCTCCCAACGTAGGAGAAGGTCCTAAAAGGATGAAATGGTAGGTGGTCCAATATACCCTACAAACCTCTACTGACATTTTACCCAGGATGTCTGGAGTCTGTGAATCTTGGGGCCTAGGTGAACTTGTACAGATGAATGACCAGGATATGGATAGGCTCCTAGCCCATTACGAGTCCGGCAAGATCCCCACATTCGATGAAGTCCGGTCTAACTGACCGCCACCTTTGCATACACTCCAGCCGACGTTTCCAGGCAGTGAGATCGTCATTGGCTTCATGTCTCCAAGCCTGGGAATCATCCCTTGCCCAAGATTTATCTCAGTGGAAAGGAGCCCGTTGCTTTCATAGCAGAGCAAGCATATATGTACATGTACCGGAGCGTCGTGGTCAACCCCGATATCAAGCAGCTTTTCAGCGGATAATCGTTACAGACCTCTGCTTGTTGACAAGAAGTCAACATGTTTCCTACGTTCAAGGAATGATCACCTATAACCTACGAGAATCGGGTTTCGTACGGGCCATGATAACCGAACTTGGATTAAGAAGGGAAAGATGCAATATGTAGTCTCTGGGATGGGATTTTGTGCACCGATCTATGATGAAAATGAAAACTTAATCAGATAGGAAGCCTGCTTATGTGCTTCCAACCTCACTCTGCAGCTCCTTCAACTGCGACCACCCTTCACTATCCTCCCAGAACTCCTTGCCTTTGCCCAAAATACCCCTTACTGCACTACGAGCCTTAAACCTCCAATCTTTGGCAACGAGCTCAGCCTCACCCGCATCTTCCTGGCCTTCTTTGTCCATAGGTCCGTATTTAGAATACCCATTGCGGACCAACTTCTCTGTAGCACGTACGATTTCCATCCACTTCTTCTCATCACCCATCTGGAATGCTCCCTGTGTTGACGAGGCCACGGTGGCACGCCAAGCCTTTTCATGAGCTTCTAAGGCTTTCGTCGGCCGTCCACGCCATTGTTCAACACGGGCAACAAGAAGCCAAAGTGAGGCAGAGTGCGTGATTTGTGGCACAACCGAGTTGTCCAGCAGAGACAGAATCTGGCCAGCGATTGTACCACTGCGAATGACTTGCTGAGGAGGCTCACTGCCATTGTCAACGTTGATTACAAGCTCTTCATACTCGTAGGCACTGGTAAGGTAGTCGACAAGCATGCCCAAGATCGCAAGATCGATGCATTTTTCGCCTTTCTTATCACCGAGAATCTCGATGAGTTTCCTCTGTGCGGTAATCACATCACGGAATGGGGTAAACGGAGGAGGGATTGAAGCTGCCACCGTAAGCACGTTGTCCCAGATACGAGAGTTTGTATTCTTGAGCTGAGCCGCACGACTGAGGGCTGCAAGGGCCTCGCGCTTGTGCTTGTGAGGATCTTCCGGTGCTTTCTCTGTTTCCGGTTCGCGCTCTTCGTCTGGCAGCTGCTCCACAGCAGTAGGCGTGGATTCATCTGGCTGAGGTGTTTGTAGAATAGCTGCAGCAAGGTTGCTCCATGATTCAGCATCGTTTTCTTCCAATTGGACAGCCCGAGTAAATGAGGCCTTCGCATCATCCCAACGTTGTAGTTCAAGCTGCACGCAGCCTAGCGAGAACCAAGCGCCGTGGTTAAGACGGTTAATTTGCAAGCTCTTGCGGAAAGCTTCCTCTGCCTTTTCCAAAGCAGGCGGCTTCATCGAGAGGTAATGCCGAGCCAGAGACCTCTGAGCACGGGCGTATCTGTTATTCGAGACCTCCCACGCGCGCTCGTACATGGTTGCGTCTGAGTCAAGATCTCCCAGAATACAGAAAAGCCTTGGGGCATCAGCAGGGAGAGGCGAGAGCTCAGGTCCCTCAAACTTGTCATTTTCGTCCTCAAGGTCTTTGTTCGTAGGTTCGTAGAGTTGTCTGCGAACCGTGGACTTAGCCTTCTCCTCTCTTTCTGTAGCGGCATAGCATAGCGCAGCCTCCGCCCACATCTGTAAACGCTCATAAATTTCCAGAGCAGTGCGCAATCCTCCGAGATTGACCCAACGAGATGCCAGCTCAGCCTCGAGATCCCACCTGGTGGAGAAACTCAGAAGCCATATGTATTCAAGTCTCTCTGCAGCTGACGCGGATTCGGATTTCTCGGGTCTTGGAAGGAATGTAGTAGGTTCCTCGACAGTAGAAGTGGCTTGACTATCGAGGGTAGCGGTGTCGGCAATGACTTGATCCACAAGGGCTTGCATTTGTAAAACGGATCTTTCCACAGTTCGAGCCCTATAGCCCTCAATTCTGCTCCGAGCTAGAAGACCCTGTGTGTAGATCTGCCAGTTTGAGCTACCGCCCTCAAGAACTCGGGTGGCGTAGGGGTGTGTCTCCTCTCGAGTTAGACCATCCTCAGGTGTGGTGTTAGTTATCGCGGCCGCAAGAGCTAAGAGAATAGCGGAGTCCACAGGGCTGAGCTTTGGCTGATTCCCGGGATCAAGAGATGCCAGCATTGGCGGGAGGGTCGACTCCTCTTGTACGGTAACTTGATTATTCTGGATCTCTTGTTTCACATCTTTCGTAAAAGATATAGATTCCAGAAGGGTATCATCGTTGAGGTCTAAGTTCTTCGGCCCCGAGGGCTCCGAATCACCTGAGCTGTTGATGTTCGTATCCGCTGCATCGTCGGCACTCTTCGCAATGATGACGAGTTGACTGATATCGCGCTCTTGGAACTTGGTTCTTTTGCCCAATTTTCCGGTTAAAGCAAATTTGAAGTTCCGTTCTGATGCAGCCTTGTCGATATCTGCTCTAGCTTTGGAATCAAGACCGTGGTGAGTGTGGATAAGTGCTCTCTCGAGTAGGAATTTCCCTTTCTCTGAGCCAGCAGTATTTCCATTCAACAAAATGCTGCTAATTTGCTCCATATCGGAATAGATCGCATCCTGAAGCGTGCCAGTAATTTCTGATAGCATCTTCTGGTGAAGAAAATTGACACGCATTCTTGCCGTCCTCGCAACCAACGGGCCATTCGTAAGTAGAACATCAGTATCGGCTAGGATAGCCTTCGCAACAGCGAAAAGCTCCACATTAGGAGTCAATCTATAAGCCGCTTCGCCATCCACTGAGAGGTCGCGAATTATATGCGCTCGGACGGCTCTCAGACATGTCGGATCAGTTCGCAGAGTGGACGGAATAATTAGCTCTGCAGGGTTGAAGCTTAGTGGGGGTCCAGTGACATTGGACTGAAGAAAACTGAAGAGGGCTGCTAGACCAATGTGAAGCAGCTGCGAGCTCCGCTGTTCAGGGGTCAAGCCATCTAGTGGCGTATGAGATATGGACTTCGTCTTGTTGGCCAAAAAAGTTGTATACGAGATTTCTCCGCTAGATACACGAGCGAGAGTACTCTCATCTGCCGAATCGTGGCCAAAGACAGTCTTTGCGAGAGGTAGTTGTAAGATTGGAACTATCTCAGCATCTGCTAACTGGATAGGCTCATATAATTGCTTCAACGAGGACGCTTCATCATATAGCGTGTCTAATGACGCGGGGTAAGCAATCGAGGCCTCAGCCATTTTAAGAGTCCTAGTCGCTAAGAAAAGGGATGTCAAGTTCAAACTGGCAAAGAAGACACTGTCTCTTCTAGACAAACTAGGAAAACTCTCAAAATTGGCGGTTTGATATGGGAACCCGCGATGCCGCTCAATTAATAAAAACCCCGCCAAAAAAAAAGGCATATTTATCGATAAGGCAAAAATTTGTAAAGGCGGTGGTGGGGCTCAGGGACGTGGCACTAAGAGCTCCACAGATGGCGCACGCGAGCAAACATCCAGTGTGTAATATGGACACGCACTTCTACACCTGTACTATGATTGTTATAACGAAACACCTCCCCACCGTGACTCATTGAAATCTGTATGTTGGGTAAATAGCATTATTTAAGAATAAAGTCCTGTGGGGAGTAATCGTTTCCTTCAATCAACAAAAAATCCAATCTGAGGCTAACTAATGATTCAACCGATAAACCAGGACCAGCGAATACGGCGAAAGGCCATGGGAGCTACAGTAGAAGATGACTAGAATAGAAGTAGAAAGGATCTGGAATATGATAGATACATGGGACATAGTTGAGACAAGTGGCGTCATAGGACAGTATGGTATCGTAGTAAAGATGATTAGCTCAACAGACTTGCACATGATATATTGTGTGAAATCTAAAGTAATCAATGTATGGGTTCCTAGAGACGAGCCTATACAAGATGTCCGCTTCCCCGTGACCTACAGAGCCTTGGAAAAGACATGCAATCAATGATACGAATCCTATTCGTGTCTTTACCAATGTTCAGGACTTCAAGTATAACACGGTGTAGGCACAGAAGCTTGCTAGCAAACAGATTAGGTTAAGACGAAGACGTTTCAAAATCGAAGGACCGCCTTCGTTTAGATACTTGGAAACTTGACTACGTCAACAGAAAGGATTACGATAGTTATCAGACCGAAATGGAATATACGCCGTATTGGATAGTGGCTCTCATAGGCAGCGCGAGCATAGTTTACTACCATTTGCGCTTACAAAGAATTCTACAAGCAAAAACAAGGGCCAAGAAAGGCAGAGAGAGAATAGAAGGATTTGAAATCCGTTAATGGAAAGTAAATTCATCCGATCATAACTTCTATCGAGGACATTACAATAGCCATTCGAATATTAACCATGAGTGAAAAGTAATCCTTTAGAACAACTCGCTTTCTTTTCAATTATTCGTTTAGAATCATCCTCATCAGAGAAGACCTCCTCACCACGCTTCCTGTAGCAAGAGATTAGCATGCATTTCGCGAGAACATGGGCCCACAACTTGTGAAAACTTACTTCCTAGCCATACGCTCCTTCTTCTTCTTGCGCTGTTCGGAGCTAGTCAATTTCTTGGCCTTCTTAGGGGCTTCGATCTATTGAAGAAGTTAGAATATTATACTCAAGAGTAGCGGAAGCCACCAAATGGTTTGGAGAAAGAGGGAAAGAAGGGGGAAAAATGGGGGTTTCAACGTACCTTGTTGCCCATAGCATCGAAGGTGTCCTCCTCGTTGACCTTCTCAGTAAGACGGGGACCAGAGCCCTGGCCCTGAACCCAGTTGTGGCCGGAAGGAGTCATCTTTCCGTCGACAACAGCCCAGACTTCCTCAGTAAGGTTCTCAGTGAACTCACGAGAGTGAGTGATGATAACGACACCACCCTCGAAGGTCTTGATGGCCTTGGAAA